CTCCACTTTTCTGACTTTCCTTGCACACGCACGCGCGCAGACACACACACGATTGATACATTTACACACTTTCCTGTTACTGCCCTTCCTCGAGGACAGCTCTCATGCTAGAGCTTGCATTTCTACCTTCCCCTTTTGCAAGGGCTGCAGATGTGCTGTGGTTGATCCCAGCCTTCCCCGCCTGCTGAGTATTCTGGTTATTTCCAGATTTTCTCCATTACAGACAGTGCTTCACTAAGCAGCCTTGAACACATACCCCTGCACATACACATCTGGGTACACACATTCCTAGATTCCTAGAGGTGAGAATTGCTGGCTTGGAGAGTGACTGACATTTCATGTCTACTCCCGAACATGCTCCCCACGCCTCAGGGGCAGACAGAAGGGGCCAGGGATGAGGACAGTCCCCGCGTCTCTGACCCGTGTGCCCTTTTCTTCCTCTGTAGGTACCATGTGATCTGCCAAAGCTCAGAGCTGGCCAAGGACATCCTGGTGCCCTCCTTTGACCCCAAGAACAAGCACTGTGTGTTTCAAGGTGACCTCCTGCTGTTCAGCTGTGCTGGCGCCCACCCCAGACACCAGAGGATCTGCCCTTGCCGGGACTTCATCAAAGGCCAGGTGGCTCTCTGTAAAGACTGTCTATAGTGGCCACCAGTTGGGCCCTGTATGCACTCTGCTGGGGAGGTCAGTGGCTCCAGCCCCACCTGGGCAGGGCCAGGGGCGGAAGTCATCCAGAGACTCTCGCCAGAGCCTGAACTTTTTGGTGGAAGGTTCCGATGTGGTAATGCTCTCACTGCGATCAGAGCATCACAGCGGAGTTCTCACCAAAACAAAACGAGAGCCGCCGTCCAGCCGGGAGCCCGGCGTCTCCCTGGCGCAGCTTCGTTTTTAATTTTGGAGGAGCTACTATAGGGAGACTGTGCCGCTGCTCTGGTGGGGGGGGGGGGAGTCTCAAGATTCATTTCAGTGAAACAAAACCAGAAGAGGGATTGAGCTGGTTGGAGAGAACTTTGTATGGGAACATTCCTAAACCCATTAACTTATTTATTTGGGAGGGAGGGAGGGGGCCTGGGGAGGGCAGAGGGGTTGATCATGTGTCTTGTTACTTGTTTGATTTTCCACTGTTGGCCATCCGCCTTCACTAATATTACTGCTGTCTGCTCTGGGCAGGGTGCACTGTGGTGGCATGCTTGAGGGCAGCTGTGGGGACCCAGGTCCTCAAAGTGGATGGTGGCAGGACAAAGGAAAGTCTTGTGTGCTTGACAGGTGGCAGTCAGGGGCCAGGCACCCCCCCCCCGGGCGTGAGGGGACATACCTCTCTGTGGACCAGAGAGCCCAGCCAGGGACCCAAGATGGGCTGCTTTGGTCATATCCCCACCACCCATCACAGCCAAAAACATACCCACACATACGCTGGCCATCATTTCTGGTTAGGATTCTTTCAGGAAAGAAATGCAAGACTGGGGGACTGACATTTGCGAGTTTTTGTTAATTTCACTCTCTCACGCATGTCGGAAGGAGGAAAGTAGCAACGGGAGATGGAAAGAGCTACCCTTGGACTTGGAGGTCGTGCTTTCTACCCCTTACGGGGGTTGTCTTTGAGCTGAGATTTGGACAGGAGTGAAGTTGGTCCCTAAGAACCAGTGGCACCACCAGAGCTGTGTGGCCTTGTGTGATATTTCTTCTAATGTCTGCTGTCACTGAAGTCCAGGGAGTGGGGCTCTCGATGAACTTGATGTTGGCTGGGGGAGCAAGGACAGGCCAGGATGAAGGTGCAAGGCTCTGGCCATCCCCCTGAGGGTGTGGGTGTGGCCTGTGGCTAGGAATCTGGTGCTGGCTGCTACTCCAGGCACACATATTCTGGGAGTGAACCAGCTGGCAGGTTGGACCAAACCCTGGAGCCCCCATGCTTTGCTTTCTGTGCTAGTTCCCCAGGCCCTGGCACCTGCCCCATGCTTCAGTGCTTTGCTGTAAGTGTGCATCTCCTGTGAAGCCCCTGGCATCTCTGTGCTGGTAAGAGTGAGCCCTTCTCTCTCCTGGGCAGAATGTCTCCATTATGAGCTGTCCTGTGATCCACCCAGCCCTCACTGGTGGTTTTGAGTCCCTTGGTTGCCCAGCACCATGTGCCAGGCCAGCAGCTCTGTGCTAACCAGCCCCATGGGGGCAGCCGGCCCAGGCTGTGCAGAGCAGAACAGCTGGGCAAGGCTAACGGCTGGAGGGTCTTCGGGACGTGAGGTTAAAGTTAGAATTCTGCTTTGTGAGGACCTTCAGGGATGGGAAGTTAGATTCTGCCTGCTTCTCGATTCTTCTTGGGTGTAAAATTAACACCAAATGCACAGCCAGCCTTTTTTTCTTAGCCCCTCAGTGGGTCTTAATTGCACCTCTCATCTTAGAGAATGGAGGAAGGGGAGGGCAGCCAGGTCTCCCCACGTTGTAGGTGGCCCCAAGCACAGGGAGAATGCCGACGGGGCGGCCTCTGCCCTGAGCATCGATGCAGGGGCCCACCCCTCACAAACTGGCTGAGAACAGCACCAAGGGCAGAAGTCCAAGGAAACCGTGGTGATAGGGTGAGTGCCTGTGAGTGTGTGCTTTTAAGCTTTGCAAGGGCACTTTCCTGCAGCGGGAGGGCAACAACTGCCATCCATGCAGCTGGGAACTGCTTTTCCCTACGAATGGGCCTCCAGGCTGCACTCTGCCTATTGGGAATCTGCTTGAGCTCCCAGACCTGCAATTCCTGGGCCACTGTCGCCCTCTCCTGGGCTCTTCTGGGAGCTTCCAATGTTGAGAGTGTGAGTGCATGCGTTTGACCAGCAGGGGGAGCCTGCGAGCCAAGACCAGTTTCCCCTGCTTTGCCAGATTAACCCATTTTGCAGAGAGAGGATTAAAGCACAGAACTCTGAAAGCAAAGGCAGTTGGACAGCCATGCTCCCAGAAAGATGCTGTGCCAGCCTTGTGTTCCAGAAGCTGCAGGGATTGTTTTCTGGCTGCGCCTGAGCTCAGGGCCTTTCCACTTTCATATTCCTCCTTCACGTTAGGACCCTCAGGTCAGGCAGCCAGCAGAGCACTTTACCCATGTGAAGGTCCCTCTCACGTCCCCCATTCCAGTATTGGCTGGAAGTAAGCCAGAGTTCTGCCCGTGGGGCCGCTGCTCCGGGGGCAGACCCACACTCCAGGTGGTGAGGGCATTATGAATAGAGGTGGCAGCAACAAATGTATACTGACTCCCAGGCGACCACACACTTGGCCCAAGGCTGGCCGGTGACCCCGAGGACACTGGGGTGGGGGCCCCCATCTGCCCTGGGCAGGAAGGGGCGTGCTTCCCACCTGCCCTGGGAGAGGAAGGCACCTCTCAGTGTGGGCTCGCAGCCTGAAGTGGTTTTCCAATGCCAATCTTACAGGACACTACACGAATTTGTCATCGATGGCACTTCCACGGGGAGAGAAACCCTCAGTCAGGACTAGTGTCTTCCTGTGCGACAAGTGTTTATCTCCTGTCTTGCCCGGTCTTTGTAGTTTTTGTACTTTTTTTTCTCCCCTAAATGAATTTGGATTTTTTCCCCCTCCACTGTGATCCTAACTTCTTAAAAATAACATGAGGGAAAACAGTTAATTAACGGAGAGAAAGCTTTCCTTTGAAATGTAAGCCCTTTCAGAGGGAAAAATTCCTGAGAGGGGGAACGTTACTTCTAATGCCAGTAAACACCTCATTTATTGCCTGTATGTAATTGGCACATGTATGATTGGAGACGCATTTTGCATTTTTGCTTAGGTTGGGTTTTCGTCACTGCTTACGAGTTTCCATTTTCTGTTTGCTGTATGTTTGAGGGTCTTCAGAGCCCTTTTCTTTGGTGGTATTTTTTCTCTGATGTGCCTTTTCGTTTTTCTTTGAGGTTGGTTTTTGGAACCTGGGTTTTGTCAGAGGGAACTAGTGGTCTCCTCCAGCTCAGAGAGAGTACGTGTCCTCGCATTGTCGCAGGCAACTCAGTGTTGTCCCTAGGCCCCAGCAGACGTGCGCACATACCCCCGTGAAGCCGTGGGAACCCCTAGAGGAGGGCTGGCTTCCTCCAGACCAGCCCACAGCCTCCCAGGCTGCTCGGCCAGGTCTCTGGTTGTGTCTGGGGAAAGGGGAAAGAATATACACTCCTTTTGTTCCTTGGCAAACACGCGGTTTCATACGGGGGGGACTACTTAGCTCACAATAAGCTCACTTGGGGATCCTCAGTGCAGCCCACTGGCGGTGAGGGCATGAATGCGACCATTTGGAACGAAACTGTGCTGTTATGGGGCAGGTTTGTGCTTTTTTGATCAGACCAAGGTAGGCCACCCTGTTCTCCAAGGTGGTTGACCTAGATTGTGTACATAATTGGAATATTGCTGCCCTCCCTGTACACTCCAAATTCTTGATTTTAAAAAGAAGGTCTATTAACGACAGGCTCTGTTGTGTTACTCTCCCAAGCCTGGATTGTTTAATTTATTTAAAAATATTTTCATCTCCACATTGGCTTCATTTCAGTCCCATCCGTCTCTATGGGGCTGCAGGGCACCTTCACGGGAAGAGACGGATGGACGTACATAGATTGAGACTTCTTTAGGAAGGTGGGAATTTCCTAGAGCTGAGGACAAGTTCCTTTCCTTCTTGTTGGCATTCCCAGAAAGTGGGAAACCAAGTTTTCGTAGCAAAAGGCCAAATTAGCTGTCTCGTGTCGGTTGTAGAAAAAAATTACCCTAGCTTTTGTAGCACGTAGGGTTTTTGTGAGGATTCCGTGTTTAGCAGTGTCTGGCATAGGGTAAGCCCTAGTGAATGTTCAATATTATTATTAGCATTTCATAAAATTTGAGAAATAAAGAGCTGAGCTCACTTCCTATCATGAATTCAAAAGTAACACCTACAGGAAAATACTCCAAGTCGATGGAATGTTGCAGGAATTACTGGTTTAAGATACTCAAGTCGCACGTCCACTGTGCTGGTTGAAATGTTCTTTTGTCCCTGAATGCACTGACTGACTTTGAAAATGCGCCTGACGTCAGCCCCAGTGGAACTGGGCTGCAAGAATTTGTAAACTGGAGATAAGAGGGTGACCTTTGGCCACATGTTGGACCCCACCCCACTGATATCTTCTGGACCCTTCCAGGGTTTTTCTTTGCAGAACTTTTTCAGCTGGAACAAAATGAATTCGCTGAAAGACTGTCCCCTTAAAGTCAGTAGAGTCCTCTGAAATGCAGTAATAGAGGCTTTTCTGGTTTTTTGTGTAAGGGGAAAGGAATGACCCATTGAAGGTATTCATTCCCCCAGAAGTCCCTTTGCTGCCCCCTGCTGGCCGGGGTGGCTCCCCACTGTCCAGTCCACGGGGATCTGTCTGCTAAGCTGCTGGCTGTCACTTTTCTATCAGATGAAAGGTTAATTCCGTGGAGGTGACGGGGTCTTCACAACTCCCAGAGTCTGCTCCTGGTTTAATGATGTTTTCCCAAATCACCTTAAATGTCAGTTCGCTTTTTGTTTTATTGGAGTTTTAGCCTCTCCCTTCCCTAGGGTAAATGCAGAGTTTTATTTATCTTGGCCCTATTCCGGATAGATTTGCAGTTGTGGAATATCAAGGAGTCTGCTGGAGTCCCGTGTCTTTTTAGAACCCTTAGGATTCTCTTCAGCTGAATCAGCGGTCTTAAACGTCTATGGATGTAAGATTGGACGTGACCTTCCAGGCATCACTCCGTCTACCCCAGATTTTGTGGAGCCTTAAGATCACCCAGGCCCCCTGCAGCTGGTGAGGCATGGCAAGGGACGAGAGGGCCGTGTCTGTGACTGTGGGGGGTGGCCGTGGGCGCTCGGAGCATCTGTGGTGCTGGAGGTCTAAGAGCCTCGCGGGAGCAGCAGGACGGGAGCCTGACGCAGTCTGCCGCCCCTACTAGGGCTGGGATGGAGCAGGCTTGGGGAGCACTAGCTCACCGTCCTGCCCTGGTGGTAACAGGACCAGAGCGGAACAATCGATGCCAAAGGAGGTGGGGACATCCTCTCTGCTGGAGTTGCTGGCACACCCTTGGTGTCTGTAAGCTAATGGCCATTCGCGTCTGTCTTCAACCAGCTCCCACTACAACCGTTTTCTACTGTTCACTTCCGGGGTTCTGTAGTACCGGATTCTGCAAATAAGGTGTTGCTGTCCAATGTACTGTACCGGCGTAGAGAGCACTGCTGTGTTTTCCACTGTTGTAGAGAAAACTAGGGAGAACTTTATTTTTCAATAAACTTTTCTTGTGTGACAGGTGGAAGTGGTTTTGGGGGTGGGGGGGACCGGGTGGCTGCAGGGGCACCGGCATAAGGACATCCAGCTGCACCTCCCACGCCGGCAGCCGCCGACTGCATTTCAACGTTTGCAAACACTCTGCTGAAACTGCCAATAGAAAGGTAGGTTTGCGGAGTTCGGGTGAGGTGGGGGTGGAGGGTTCCCTTACATCACATCCCCTGATACTAATTTCAGAGAACTTTCCCTGTCCTACATTCTCCTAGAAGGGAACTGAATGTGCACGTAGATTGCTAGCTAGGCTTTTTTTAGATAACTGTACTGCATCAGATGTTTAAACATCTTTTAAAATGTGCTAGTAAAACAGCTCTTAAAAGCCCGGACCTGTGAGTCTGTTAGACCTGGAACACACATCCCCACTTCAAAAAGAGCACTTTTGACCCAGCACTCAGTGGTCCATGAGTCATGCGGTGACCAGGCCCACGTGGAGTCCCGAGGAGGTGGGTCAGGTCCGTGCCCTGGGGACAAGGTAAGTGGAGGCCACGCTTCCCACAGAGGCATGTTGTAGACGATGCTGGAGGGCCTCGGCTCAGCCTCTCTGAGCTGGCAGAGCTCCTGGCTGCTGCCCGGAACGGAGACACCCAGCACAGTGGGGTGGGACAGAAGTCCGCAAAAGTGCCAAGCAAAACTTGTGTGCTTAAATTTGGGGGATACTATGGCATAGTGAACCCCAATACAGGGAGAAAAGAAACTTACTGAATCATGCATTCCCAAATCTTAACAGCATCCCTTTTTCCTGTGTAACATAGTAACGTCCCACAGCCAGCGGCTCAGAATGCTGTTGGAGGAAGGCACGCTGCAAGCATCAGTCTGAACCCAGGTTAGTGACCGCTTAGAACCACCACCTCCCCGCAACCAGCCTGAGCTAGCACGCGGGAGGAGCAGAAGGCGGGGTAAGGGCTGGGGAGCGGCCTTCCCGAGTGTGGTCACCACCAGATGATTGTACGGTGGCTGTCTTCCCCGAGGTCACAAAGCCCGTCAGACAGCCCTTCTGGGGCTCCACCCAGGCTCAAGCGACCCCTTCCACTTCATCCTTCACCGAGGATGGTGACATCTCTCAAGACAACCTCCCCATGCCGTACAAAACAGGGAAAGGTCTTTATTGGTCAGACACCGTCCCCTGCACAGCAGCAGTGCTAGACAGAGGTACAGAATAGTGTGTGTTGGGGGACGTTCTTACAGAATCTACGACTAACATGACATAAACCGAGGGAACATCTTGTTCCTTACAGAGCGGTAAGCCATCTCACAGACTGTAATGCACCAGGGCCACGTGACACAGCATATAGATCTATGCAGCGCGGGGTAGGTTACAGAGTCATTTATTACAAATAAACTGTAGTTTCACATCGCCCCAAAGTGGATCCTGTTTTTCCATGTTATGTTCAGGTTCTGACTGTACAAGAAAGGGTCGTGTGCTGCTGAGTTTGACCATGCAAAGCTCATACATCTATCACTAAGGACTTTAAAAATAGAATGGTCTCCTTTTGAACAAATCTGTTGTTTCAATCCAGGATTAGTAAAACAGTATGAAACTAATGAAATACACTGATAGAAATTAGGAAGTGAGATATATACTGATGGACAGAAGGGTACGGTCTTCTCTTAAAATCTGCCAGGGGACGGGAGACTCTGGAATACGAGGTCGCGGGGCCCACGTGGAGTCCCAAGGAGGTGGGTCTGGTCAGTTGCTACCCATTTCAGGCTTGGAGCACCACAGAAGGGCTTTCTGCCAAGCAGAGCTCTTATCTTTCTTACCCACCAGACACTTCTTACCACAGAAGATAGAAAAGGTCCGCTCCCTCTGGAGGTGGGGACCCTCTCCCCGCCTCCGTGCACCTTGTCCTGGGGTGTTTGGCGGGGGCGGTGGAGGGAGCGGGGAGCAGGTGCCGTCCCACCTGCTGGGTAGAACTCATTCCCGTGGGCACGCGCTTTCCAAAAAAGAGATTGGATGTTCAGTGAAACGTTGGCACCGTCTGCCTGGGTGGTGACCTCTCGTCGTCCTGACAGCCGTCCTGCAGGTGCTGGGCGGCCGGCTCTGGTCCCTTCACTCAAACATCTCGTAGTGGCGCGTCTGCCTCACCCTGGGCACCATATCAATGAGGAGCCTGCAAGGAGGAAGCAGGCAGGTCAGCCCATGCCGAGCCTCCGCAGCCCTGGGCTCGAGCACTTGGGAAACAGCGGAAGGGTGGGCTGTTTTTATAAATATAAATGCAGCCTTTTAAGTATACAGTTCAGTGGAGTTTTGGCCTCTGCATAGGTGGTACGGTATCACCACTGTCTAATCCCAGAAGGAAACCCCCATCCCCCCGAGCCGTTACCCCCTCCTCCCCACCACCCGCTGGCAACCGCGGATCTACTTGTGGACTCTGGATTTGTCTGTTTGGGGAGACTTCCTATAAATGCCATTACTCAATATGTAGCCTTTTGTAACTGGCTTCTTTCATTTGGCATGTTTGTGAAGTAGCGTGAATCAGTATTTCATTCTTCTTAGGGGTGAATGTTACTCCAGTGGATGGACATTTGGGTCCTTATAACCCGCGTATGGGTCCCATTTCGGACACACACACACATGGTTTCTACCTTTTGCCTGCTAGGACTACTGCCGCTGTGAGTTTGGTGTGGAAGGTGCGGCGTGGACGGGCTGGGTCGCACGGCACCCCGGGGCTTAACATTTAGAGGCGTCACTAAGTTCCCCACAAGGCGGCTGAACAGTTGGAGGTTCCTGACAGCACAGTATGGGGGTGCAGATTCCTCCCCAACACATACCATCCCTCTTCTGTTCTAATCATCCTGGTGGGAGAAAGGAAGCATCTAAAAGCTTGTGCCTTTTAGAAATGATTCACTCCAAGGCCAACTCCAGCCTGGATGTTGGGTTCCAGCCCAGCCGGCACGTCAGGCTGGGCTGGAACCCAAGACTGGGGGTGGGTTTTCCCACCTGGGGCCCTTCTGTACCTTTTGCAAAACGTTTTCTCAGTGTGGGGGCCTGGCCTGCCCCACTGATGGTAGCGGGTGGCAGAGGGCTTGGACGTGGGAGGACACCAGACACACCTGCCTGGTGCACCTTTACAACCTCGGTAGAGAAAGGAAGGGGCATGAAGGGTTAAAGGGAGGACCAGTCAGTGAAAGACAGCAGCCCCTCATCCAAGTCCTTGCCTCAGCTCCATCCCAGCCACAAGACTAGGTGACCGCTGCTGGGGACCTGTCCGCCCCCCAGGAGCAGCAGGGTCACAGGTGTGACTGGTGACTATCAGGGCTGGGAACTCTAGCACTCCTGGCCACCCAGAAGGCAAAGAGGAAAGAGGCACGTACTTAACCCCGTAGGCAAATATGGTGAGGCCGATGAGTGCACCGATGCTGCCGTCCAGGTACCAGACGGCCGAGTTGTGCTTGAACACCTCCGCGCTCAGAAGGATGGAGAAGCCCATCACGCCCCCGACCAGGGAGTTAAACCCTGCAGGAGAAGCAGAGAGGCTGAGGGCAGCGCTGGGAGAACCTGCCTGGCCACCCAGAAAACTGCCCAAATGCCAGGCATGCCGCTGCCTTCTGGAGCGTGTGCTAGAAGGAATGTTCTGGAAGCACTCACGCAGGTGAGAGCCGCCACCCCCACTGTCCGCGTCCATCCCCTGCCAGGCCCTACACCCGTACGACGCAGCTGGATTGTCTCAATTCTGGGACGTCAGAGTCTCATCCCCATTTTACCAGTGAGAAAACTAAGTTGAGAAGAGTGAGTGAGGTTAAATAAACAAAGCCTTTACAGACTGAGAGCAGCAGGGCTGGGGTTCTACCTGAATCCATGTCCTTTCCCTGCAGAGTCTCCCCAAGTCACCTGAGGCTTTCCACTCTCTGGGAAGGAAATGCCAGGTCTAGGATTAGCTACGTGGTGGCCAACATGGCCATCCCACCAGAACCGCTGCTCACAGATGGCGATCACCACCTCCTTTCACATATGTCACCTCGGGGGTCCCCCACAATGTGGGCATCTCCATTCCACCCGTGAGCCTTCAAAGGCCGCAGGGGAAGAGAAGGGTGAGCGGGTTTCCTGGAGGCTCACTATGCGAGCCCCAAGGCTCCTCGCCTGTCCCAGCAGGACGGCTGTCCGCCGGCAGCTGTCCGGGTGGGCCCGTCCACTTCTCCGACAGGCGCAGCCTTACTCCACCTGGGTCACAGCGCCAGGCTTTGGCTCAACTCAAAAGCCTTAATTCCAGGTTCCAGGAGGAAAACTGAGTTTAAACCTTAAATGCATTCACTGAGGGCTGTACAAACTAGGGGAGGTTCTAAATGAAGAGCAGGGGGAGAGGAAGAAGAGGGCAGGGGCAGGGATGACTTCAGCAAAGCCCCTTCTCAGGATCCAAGAAGCAGGCTTCAGCAGGCTGGTCCCCAGTGACAGGACCAAGATGAAGCTGGCCCTGCAAGGACACCTCCCATTGGCTGTTACATCACAGCTCATCACCATCATCTCCCCACTCCAATTCTCAGCTGATGACTCGGCCTTGTACTTCAGAGCATGTGGGTTCAGAAAACACCCCATCACCAACTAACTCCGAATCCACCACCCACCTGAGCCTGCCGCACTCAGCCGCATCTCTGACTACTGGCCTGCCTATGTAAGTCTGACTCCTTCAGACCTATTCACCAAAGGACTTTGGTTTTGAATTCCCACTCCCTCCTGAGTCACTCCCACTGAGATAAATCTTCCATCACCCACCTCCATCTCCTTCCTTGACGCCATGCCACCCCTACTCACTACCACCCTTCACAAGACGCCCTGAAGAGCTGTCCACCCACCACGCCTCTCTCTCTCTCCACCCCTCCCCAAGGCCATGGGTAACACCAGGCTGCCACCTAACACAGATAACTCCTTGTCCCTATTCTACAACCACCCCCCCAAGGAACATGTCCCTTCAGCCCCACGTGACACCGCGCTCTGCTGGTTTCCCTCTTGCCACTCCAGCTGCTGCTTCTCAGTCTCCTTTGCGAGAGCCGCCGCCTCCTCGTCCCCATCTGAGTGCCAGGCTTAGTCTGAACTCTTCACCCCCATCCTCGCCCCTGGTTCTCACCTCCCCTCCATAAACCAGCATCTTCCAACCTGCTCTCTTCTGTCCTGACCTTTCCCCTCAGTGGCAGAAGTACAAGCATGTCAAACTGAACATGTTCAAAGCAAAACTTGCTGCCTCCAAATGGCTCACCTCCTAGGCACCTTCTCTGTAAACAGTGCCACCCTCCACCTCGCTGCTGAAGCCAATAGACTAGGAGCCCATCCTTGACTTTTCTCACATCCAAAATCTGATCAGTCCCCAAATCGAATCCATCCATCAAGTCAATCTTGCCAACTGTCACCTCCCAAAGCCATCCTCAGTCTACCTCTCCCAGCCCCCAACAACCCCAGCCCCCATCTCCCTCCACCCACAATCCACTCCTCTCAACAGCAGCCAGAACCCTCCCATAGAAAAGATGCCCAAATGTGAAAACCACCCAGACTCTTCCCCGCTGCCAAGTCCAGCACCCCCTCCCCACCTTGGGCTCACTGCTGCCCTTCCGCGGGGCCTTCGGACTTACCTACCCACCAGCCCGGACGCCTCCTCCCAGACTCTCCCAGGGCTGCCCCAACCCTACTTCCCACCCCGGCTGCTGCTCCGTTTTTCTCCCCGGTGCTTCTCTTCATGACCATTTTTTTTTTTACAAACCTCTGTCTCTGTCTCACCAGAGATGTAAGCTTACAGACAGGAATTCTGTCTCTCCTTGCTGTAGTCTAAGTCCCAGAACGGGGGGCTGGCACTTCTCAGGGGCTCAGCTGATTGCTGCATTAAGTCCTGAATTAACGGATGGAGGGCAAGGGGAAAGGGAGGCAGGGGACAATGGTCTGAGTGGTGCTAAGAGGACTCTACTCAGCCGGGCTGTGCTGTCGCGAGGCAGAGGACTTCCTCCTGAACCGCAGGGTGTGGCCTGGGCTCCCCCACCCACCCTGAGGCGCTCTACCAGGTTCACATCGAGTGGACCCTTCCAACCCAATGTCACCTCAAAAAAGCAAATGCCTGCGTCTTCCTGCCACCAGGGGCCACGGTCTCCAGAGGCCAGTCCAGGGAACTGTGTGGCGAGAGGGGTCAGGACTTTCCGGGAGCCTGGGGCTAACGAGGGCCACTCCAGGCAGGGCCTCTGCCTGCCCTCCCATGTCTACCAGGGGACCCCAGCCCACCACCCAGGGGGAGCACCTCCACCCATCACTCACTAGGCCCTCCGCTGCACACAGCCAGCCTGACAGAGCCTCTGGGTGCCCCGGGAGGTGTGGGGAGGACAGGGCTGACACCTGCTTCACCTGAGGTTTGTCCCACCAGCTCCAAGTCCCAAGGCCAAATCTCTAAGCCTTCCACCTCTGACCGTGGAGGCAAGGGGCCATTAGCCCCCCCCACCCCTACTGCCTCCTAGCTTCCTCTTTTTAAAGGGCCGGGGGGCAAGGCTGCAGCCCAGGTCCCCGTGGTGTTTGTTTCTGCAGCTCCTCCAGGCTCGCTCACCTCTGGATTGCGGGGCTCAGCATTCCTCCCCATCTCTGTTTTCCACGCAGCGCAGGCAGCAGGACCACCCCCCCCCAGCCAGCACCTGCAGCCTTTCGTCACCACAGTGGAAAGCTCTGTGCCAACTGAGTCTGTCCCTGCACCTTGTACACACAGCACTCAGGAACAGCCTCCCTCTCTGTCCCGCCTGCGGCTTGGCCTCCGCATCTCACAGCCTCAGTTCTGCCTCCAGGCCTTCCGCAGCAGGACAGCAGCTTCGCTCAGAGAAGGGGAAACTGCAGTTCGCTCCCGTCCTCTGCTACGTCACGGTCATAGTTCCCCTCTGCCCCTGTAAGACCTCTGGCAGTCCCTTGAATCCTCCTGATCTTCTTCACAAATGGAATCAGACCAGGCCTCTTAGCAACAAAAAAAGAAGTCTGCCACCCACGTCTTTTCTCAGAAGGCCCCCAGAAGCATCCGCAGAGGCCGTTAGTCAGTGGGCTACCTGGACTGTAGTTTACCTCGTGGGCGTTCTCAAAATTGGGATTTTCTTTTGGGGGTGGCTGGAGGAAAGAGACGAGGAGGTGATCGCTGCCCCAGGCCAACTGGAGTCCTTCACTCATCTTTGTCATGGGCACCAGCCCTCAAAGAAGCCCAGGGGAGCTCAGAAAAGATGCACAGAGTATTCAGTTCCTCCAAATGGCCACTAGGTGTCTTCTCGGCTCCACCAAGGCACCAGGCTCTGCCAGCCAAGGACAGACCAGCCTCCCAGTTTCTGACAGTGGGGGGCCCACCCACAACGCATGCTCCCACCCCTGCACACTCCTGAGAGTTCACAGCTGACGATGTGCAGTGCTTTGACCCCACACCTTCCAGGAGCCTCTGACCTCCTCAGCTCCGCCCACCTTCAGTCACGACAGAGCCTGATTCATGTCGGCTGCACCTCTCGTAAGCCTGCACGAACACTGGGACCTGCACCCATGGCCTGGGGGACGATTCCGCACCTGCCCTGCCACATCCTTCAGAATTTCAGAGCCTTACCAGCCGCAGCCATTCCACACGAAGGACCTTGAACTCAGAGCCCTGTCCCCCAGACCACCCGTCTGATCAGCACACAAGGCCCCATCGGTCACTCACGTCTAGGGTGCTGTCCGCACCCTGCCCAGGCCCACACGCTTGTCCGCGTCTCCCCTGTGACAACCAGAGCTGTTGCCAAGAATAAATGCTGTTATCATTTTAGAACAAAGTAATGTTTGAGGCTATCTTGATTAGAAGCCCTAGCAGTCTGGTCTTAGTGACTAGATAAGAATCTATATAATTATGCACGTTGATTGTATGCAGAAAATTCTGATTAAAAGCTTATCATGTGTTGGAAAACCATAAAAGACTCTTTGTATTTTAGAACAGTCAGCCCTGAGCCCTGGCCCCTCAACTCAGAAGCCTCCGGGTGTCCTGTGGGCACGGCTGGAGCTGGCTCCTAGCCCCTAGTTCAGAATCTCCCCTGGGGAACCTTTCCAGTCTTCTTGTGTCCGATCTGCAGTATGAACTTGAGGCACCAAATTACTCTGCCTTGAAGAATATAAAGCCAGCTTCAGGCTAGTCCTGAGAGCAGTGATCACACACTGACTAAATATACAAAGCAAGAAAAGCCAATTAGACGAGATTTCCGTGCTCTCTGCACAGCACAGCGTGGAGAAGTCTGGGATCTACCCACACACCCCCTGTCGTCCCCTTTCCCCTGAAGATCTGAAGATCTGCTTCCTGGCGGTAAGGACACGACCCAGTGACAAAGGCTCTGATAAGAGACAGCCTGACCCGGTTCGCACACAGCTTCAGCTACGAAACCCACCACCTCACCAGGTGACAGGTGAGACCTGTCTCCCCTCCCTTTCGGCACCAGAAGCAATTTGCTCAACTTGCTTCCTTCTTGGAGAGAAAGCAATTGGCCTGCGCATGGCCCTGGGCCAGGCCATGAAAGGGGCACTCCTGGGGTAGCCCTTCAAGAAAACCCCCAACATGACTGGCAGGCCTGGCCCCCAAACCCCATCCTGCCCCCCCACCTCCCCAAACAAGGGACAAGCAGAGTGGTGATAATTACAGCTGCTTCCCTAGCTCTCCTAATCAATGAATGAGTAAAACTGGGATCCCAGACGATGCAATTAGCAGGAGGCTGTAATTACCGCCGCATACTTTGCTGACACTCCCACCAAGCAAGGAATGCAAAGCAAGCCACTCCCCAGGGGCTCTGGGACAGAGGCTTGGGGATGGGGTTACTGCCTCTGCTCTTTGCAACAGTGGTTTCCTATGGGCAAAGCGCCTCAGCAGCCCAGAGAGCAAGGCAGCATCTTGCAAGGACAGAAGCCAAGAGCAGGCTCTGCAGGAAGGGTCGCTTGATGAAGGCTGCTGAGAGCTGCGGGTCAGCGTGGTGGGGGAGCTCTGGGCACTGCGGGGTCCACCTTCCCTGGCCTGGCACTGTGTCCTGGCTCCTTCAACTGGCCAACAACCCTCTGTGTGCACTGCCTGGACTGGGGCACTGGTGTAAAATACGACCTCCTGGGACCCACCCCCGGCCTCCAGAATCAGAATCTGTGTAACAACCACAAGCAGTTCTGATGCTGTCAGTGGTAGCCGTCAACTGACGAGCATCTGGGGTCCCCCCTGGTTTGGCAGTCAGCCTGTCAGATCACGTAACCCCCAACTTCTTCAGGCCTGTTCACAGGATCCCCCACCCCTATACACACGGGTGATGAGACTCCCAGGGCGGCCGGGGTTGAAAAGCTGGAAGCGTCCATTTGACTTCCTGCCCACCTGCCCCACTGTGCAAAAGGCAGCACCTCACCCAGTGGGACATCAGCACATCAGCACGGCATGGGACGAGGAGTACGAGTCCGCCCTGCATCACCATGCTCATCACATGGAAGAGAAGGGCCCCCTGCACCGCCATCCGCCCGTCCTCAACAGGATAATGGCCACCCACACGTCTGCACTCCAGAGAGCCTTGAGAGCTTGGGGTTGGGAGCAGTTCCTGAAAAAAAATCTAAGGATCCCTGCTCCACTTGGTGCAGACACACCCACCAACCCGCAAGCTTTTACCCTGTGACTCGCACTCCAGGGCGCGGGGGCTCATGTCTCTCCTCGTGACCCCTGGGAACCCCGCGTGCTCTGGGATGAGGGCCACACAGGATGTGCCTCCAGACCTCCAGACCCAGAGGACAAAGAGGGACACTTCTGCCTGGTCTGGGTCTTGGGCAGAGAACACGTGGCTCATCTCCCGAGCGAAGCCCTGCTGATTGCAACTTAAACTCCCAGGTAAGCATCTCACAAGCTGGAGGGGAAAATGAGCATGGAAGATTCACCAAGGAGGCCTTCATAGGATCCAGGAAAGATACTGACATTGTATTTGGAGTCATGAATCTAAAATCCAAGCCTCTGGGAAGCCCTTTGTGCTCCATGATTAAGGGGCTGAGGAGCCCTGACCCACCCTATTAAGAAGTCAGGGTGGAGGTGATTCGGGAAGAATATATTAAATTCCCAGGGCACAAGTCATCTGCCCTGAAAGGGAACCTTGAGGATCTCTAAACAGCCTGGGGAGGGGAGAAGGTTCCAGTTGTTGAGCACGTCCCCAAGATAGGCTGCTAAAAGTGACCCAAACAGCATCTTCCGTCCCTGGGAGCTCAGCCCCTAGAGATCAGGCACAGGGGCCTTACTCACCATCCGTTATGAGCGCTCTGCTGGTCAGCACCTTCCCCAGCATGAACTTCAGCACGGCCAGGATGCTGCATAGAATCCCACTTAAAATGGAGACGCTGAACAGGAAATCATCCTAGGAGAGAAAGTTCCAGAGTTCAACAGGTAACCTCATGTGAGAGCAGACTGTCTGCAAACCTTTGTCCCCAGAACAAACAATCCATCAGGTACGCTGCCACCAGGTGGGAGTATATTGCTTGTTTTTATCCTTCAGTTACCGGTGTCCCTGGGAATTGGCAAAGATGATCAAAAACAGATAACCCAGATTTATATTTCCTTAGAAACCCATGAAATATTTCTTTTCCTGCAGGAGATTCCCCTTCCTGCCATTCTGTCAAAATGACTGGCAATCACTAATCAATAATTGAATCGATCAAAATGCTAAAAATGGTGACTTCCGTGCAGAGTTTTCCACAGGTAATTCCAAAAGCAGCTGATCACCAATTCTGGAACATACATGTATAGCACTGGCCTAAGCACACTTGGACACAGAGCTAAGCGAACTTGCCACAGGGTCGTTTAGGGCCAGAGCCGCTTATAACCACTTCTTCCCCTTAAATTCACAAGGCAACTGGAGGTTCAGAAATAGCCTTCAAGGTGCGAAAGGCGTCTTAAAATACAGTCTGCTATGGACGTTATCTTCACACTTCTGGTAAGTTGTTAGCTTACCTTTGCAAACGAATGAGTGAGTCACCCATGCAAAAGCGAGCAGCGCTGTCTACGGCCGGGCAGCAGGGGCCGCGGGGCTTCTGCGCTTCCGGCTCCCAGACACCACTCCCATGAGACGGAGCCTCCAGACTCCCCAGTATTAAAACCCAACGGCCAGCAGAAATCTGATAAAGCATCTTATATACTCAAAGAAATAGGGTTCCTTAAGTATGTCATTATTCAGATTGACCGAGTGACAGAAAGCTGGGAAGAGGGAAGACAGCCTGTTTGCCCAGGGTTCAAAACTGAGCAAAGTGATGTGAAAAATCTCCTCTCCAGAAACAGGGTATCGGCAGAGCGTCAAAGCATCTCCCCCACGATGCTGGTCAACAGTGGGTGGTCTAAACGTGTGTCCACAAATCCTTTGCGACTCCTTCCTGGGGGCTCGGCTCAATCCCCTCCTCCCTTGAGTGTCAGGTGGACTTGGAGCTGTACCTAACACAGAGAATACGGAAAGGGAGAAATGGTAACTTCACAGGGGAGAACCCCGGCAAGTGATGGAGATGAGCAGTGAGTGGCGCTGCCGTCGTGTGCCTCCTGATGTGACGGGACGTGTGTGACAAGGAAGAACCAACCTGACTCCATATTGGAGCTGTTTCTTTCACTTTAACCTTAATATTCTACTTCTGTTTCTCCAAGTTAATCGTTAAAGGGATGTCACAGATAAGCTTAATTTACACATAATGGCCCACCTCTGGGAGTCCTGCCTCCTATGCCTGAGGGTTAAGCTAAAATACCTTTGTTGAGCTCACGGGAAACATCCTGACCAGGCCCAACTGTGAATGGCTGCAGGAAAGAAGACATTAACACAGCCCCTCTGGAGGCTGACGGGAGCCAGGAAATGTTTGAACTTTAGTCCCTC